AAGAGGGAACAAATCTTTACAGCAAGGATCATTCCCACCCCCTCGTTACACAGAGTAGACAGGGATGGGCAACTTGGACATTGGCTACCCAAATTTGGGGGGCTACAAAAGCAAGAAGTGACTGGCTTACAAGTTTTCAAGAGAGAGCCTAGAGCCAGAGAGCTTGGAGGAAGGTAGAATCTCCACTGAGTGGTATCCAATCTGTCTGGGCTACAACGTGCCCAGTGAAGGAGGCTTCCTGCAGAGCCTTTGCATCACATAAAACCATAGGTGTAATCCTGAACCACATCCAAAATCCTCTGAAATGGGAAATTTCCACTTGAAAGGACAAGCAGACCATCCTGGAGCAGCTAGAAGAAAGGAGGTGCAGATAAGTTTCTGATAATACAATAGTGAATAATTGTTATCAGGACTGATTGTGAGGGTTGGAAATGTAGTTAGACGTTTTGTAGCAAAGGGGAAGGGAATGATTGACTTTGCAGTCTAGGAGCAGAGGTCCCTCGGACCATCAAGAGAGAAGAGCAGAGATTGAGACCCTACCCAGAGAAGCATTGATGCCAGAGATAGAGGCAGAGATGATGACGTGGAGAGATGGAGTGGCTGGGGACGTTAGACCCAGAGAGGGAGAGGGGCTGTGTGCTGACAACCAGGGGGCAGGCTTGCAGAGTATATATACTCTTTGGTTGCTTGATGATGCATGGAGGAGACTGTAACCATGGCATTGACATGATATACGATAGGATGAATGTAAAGCTAATGTTCTCCCATGTAAACTATTACATAATTCACAGTAAAACATTTAAAAAAAAAAAGAAGAAGAAGAAGTCTATTGGTTCTTGATTATATGCTTCCTCTTGTAATGGTGGAACATCAACCATTTCTTTTTAGTACAGGACTCTGTGTACTTCCCTAGTCTTTTGATTCTTACTGCATCATGCAATATTTTGCTTTGAATCTTACAGTGTTGCAAATCAAGACTTGAATGTTTTCTTCAATTCCTTCAACTTGAGAAACCATTTGGTTTTTTAACTCCACCTTGTCTTTTTGAGCTTCCCTTTGAAATTTTCTATTCAACTCTTTTACGTCACCATTTCTTCTAGTTGCTTTAGCTTCTCTCCATTCAAGAGCAAATTCCAGAGTCTTTTCTGACATCCATTTTTGTCTTTTCTTTCTTTCCTGTCTTTTTTAGTGACCTTTTGGGTTCTTCAAGTTTGATGTTCTTGCTGACATCTCACAACTCCACTGATATGTAGTCATTAGTGTCTAGTGCATCAAATCTGTCTTAAGATAGTCTCTAAATTCAGGTGGCATATACACAAGGCCATGTTTGTGCTCTCATGGACTGGTGTTAATTTTCTTCAGATTTAGCCTGAACTTGAATATAAGCACTTGATGGTCTGTTTCACAGTCTGTCCCTCGTCTTGTTTTGACTGATTTTGTTGAGCTCCTTTACTGTGTGTTCCCATAGATATAGTCAATATGATTCTTGAGTATTCCATTTGGTGAGGTCTTTGTGTATAGTCACTGTTTATGTGTAAAAAGGTATTTGCAATGAATAAGTCATGTTGTTGTTGTTGTCAGGTGCCATCGAGTCGGAACCGACTCATAGC